CCTTCATAATGAAACATAAATAAGGTGTTGAAGTTTGCTAAAAACCATTTTGTTCATCATAGTTTATACATACACTTATATGTGCACACTGCAAATATATATTCATATGTATATACATGTGTATATATAGGGAGGAAGGAAGGGATGGAAGGAGAGAGAGACCTTGTTAAATGGAGATTTAAAATGTAATCTTTACAGTCCTATGTGCTAGCCATAAAAAGTACCAGAGGAAAAGAAATAAACAATCTAGTCAGAAAAAAAGTGAAATTACTTTCTCCAAAGTAAACTTATTTAAAACTAACGCCATTATTAAATAGAATCCTTTTTACAAATTGCCTTTATTCTGGGACTCTCTAATATTTTCCATTTAGTAAATCCTTATCCTAAGTGCCTGCCAATAACCTCTGCATAAACATGCAAGCATCCACATTTCTAAACTTTATGACAGTTAAAAAGCAATTCTATGAATATTTATGAAGGCAGTAAATTATTACAATAAATATAGATATTTACACATTAGAACAACATCTTCATTTAATGGATGTGGAAAAAATGTTAATATGTGAACATTTTAAAGATGAAGTGGTTTGGCCTTCAGGGCTTTTGTTACTCTATTAAAAGTTAATTTAGGGCAGAAATTATGGCTTTTTCTTGAATCTTAACCCCAAAAGATTAAATCATGATCAAGCCTCACAACATTTTTCAAAAAATTAATCTGGTGATGGTATTTCCAGAGGCTGGATATTGAAACTGCTGTGCAGTTCTCCCTGAAAAAAAAGCTGCCTCTGGCTTCTTTTATGTGCTCACAGTGGTGACATATACTCAGATGAGCTTTAGGGCAGAGGAGCTAGGTGCTAGTGAGGTGGTTTTCATCAATCTTTCTGTCACCACACATTTTATGGTATTGGAAGAGAATGTTTCTGCCTACAAACACAGCAGGCAACTCAAGTTGCTCTTTTTCAAAGTGGGGTTCTGCATCACAGAAGTGATTTGCTTAATCACTAGTAATAAATTTCAGCATCTTTCCCCACATTATGATTCAAGGACATCAAGGAATCTGCTCTGACCTCCCGTAATTGGCTCCTGAAGTTCACCAGGGATTCCAATAATCTGAGTTCCACCAAAACACAAATTTCCTTCTAGCCAGAACACCAGAAGGCAGTCACTTTCAATCTGAAGGTGTGAGGAAGCAAGTATTCTACCTTTTTTTATGGTAGTTAATTCCAGAAGTTGTGTTTCAGTTCTGTTCTACATTTGTCTCGTTTCAGCTTTCTCCTTGTGAAAGTTTTTCTTTTTCTTTAATCCAGTTCCCTCTTTATTCAGAAATGATCCAGCTCTTACTGATTTATATATACGTTAATACTATCTCTTTTTTATCCATTCTTTTTATCACAGCAATGTAAGCTCTACCTGTTTGGGGTTTTCTCCCCCCCAGAGTCAATGTTCTTTTTGATACTCTACCCTGCTATAAAGGTAGGGTCCACCTTCTTTCTTTTTATATGTATAACTTATGATGTGGCTGTAGTAACACATTCTTTATTTGAAAAGTTCCAGCTTAAGGGATGGAAATGTGTCTGTGTGGCTCTGCCGATACTCTAGGAAATGTGCACACTCTTGCCCTGATCAGACACTACATTCTGTTTCAGTGGAATGGAAATACAACACTCCCGATAAAATCTGAAAATCACATTCAATTACAAAAATATCTTAAGGTCAGATTGCTACAAATCTTGTTCTCGCAAAGCAGCTTAAATTTATGAACCTTACCAAATTTAATCAGAATTACTCATATTAAGGATTCAACTGCATACTGTAACAGCACATTAACTTCAGGCTTTTCTGCACACTCCAAATGCCCTGTATATTCCAATTCCAGGTTACTCCAAGCTCTGAACCCTATCGGCTGTTTTCAGTGTGTCTGAAGATGTGAGAGATGGGCCCAGTCGGAAAGACTGAAAGGAGAAGCTCCGAAGTATTTTGAACCTTGATCCTCCCCCAAATTTTGTACTCTATCCAATATCCCCAAAATACCAAACTAAACCTCTACAGCAAAAATATTGCAATACAATTATTTTTCCAAATATTCAAATTTCCATCACTTGGGCTTATTTCTATAAATTATCCCCTTGTACATCAAGCTGTTTTCTACCAGCACATACTTCTTTGTGTTAATGTGATGTAAAGACTAAAGAAATGTTGTTCAGTTTTCATGGTGAGTTTTCTGCCAGCAGCAGTTTATTATTTCTTTCAGGCTTTTTCCAATGGACTCAATATGGAGACAAAGAACAGTCGAGATTAAAAAAAAAAAAAAAAAGGCAAATTAAAAACACAAAAGGGGAAAACAGGAAAAACAGATGAAAACCAGCAGTTGATGATGATGGCAGTAAAAGAGAGGCAGGCAAAAAGCATACCCATGTGAGGGAAAATGCAAAGCTGAAAAATAGAGACGTGATTAGAAACTCTGTTATGAATATGAAACCTCAGTGCAGGATCTATAAAAATAAAACTCAAATCCAGAGTGAGATATTTTTATAATATGAAGTAATAATAATGAGAAATTAAAGAACATTAAAATGTGAAAAACACATTAAATAAAGAAATTAGAAATAAAACCACTAAAAATATATATATAGCGCGACAGCTCTGTTATGAACTAACGTTCTGTTTTAATGTGATGTAAAACCAAGCACGTGGAAGACAGAGATAAGGAAAATATAGTCAGAGGGAAGTATCTGCTGAAACAGAAATGTGAGACTCAGTAAGTGCAGAAACATAAACATTAGGGGGAAAAAAGAGATACAAAAAGTGGATTCAGTGGTGAGATACTGGGCCCATTTAAACCAGCAGGACTTGCTGTTTAAGGCAATCTTTCTCTTTCACTTCAAATATTCCTTATGAAAGAAGAATCTATTTCTGATATCTTCCTACATATTTTCTCATACTTTTCATAGCTTACAATTACTCCACAAGCAAAGGGATATACTTTATATTCGAAGTAAAAGACAGTTTACAACCTCAAGAAGAAGAAATAACAAATAAAGGGCAAATTTCCTACCTGCGTGAGCTGAACACAAAAAGTAGGTTTGGAGAGTTATAGTTTTTAGGTCATATCCTGAGTGTGCATTTGAGGTCAATCTCCTCATCATACCACGCTTTGGCCCATATTGTGTAACTGACTCTGAATGTGCAAAATGGATTCCTTTGGAATAGCAGATGAGCACCAGAAGTATGGCTAATACACCTCAGCCACCACTCAGCATTTACTTCTTGGGACCAGACTACAGCTAACCCCAACTGAAAGTTCCTGAGATGCGCCCTGTCCTCAGCACTGACTGCTTTGCTCTACTCCTGCAACTGCACTACTTGCTAATTTAGACACAGTAAGTGCTTACAGAAACAAATTAAATTGCTAAAGAGTCCATCTCATGGACACTGTAGACAGTGCTATTACAGCAAACTGTGCATCTTTATCAAATTCCTACTTTATAAACCCCAGTTGCTATTTCATTGTTTTTTTTGTCAGTGAGCAGGGAAATGCAGCAGAAGATCTGTTGGTGGAAATGATGCACAACAGCCAAGTTCCAACAATGATAACTGACCTTTCACAGGCGTAATTAGATTGCATCTAAATAATTTACATAAACAGCTAAAGCTACTCAGTTGAAAATGGCATTTTTATTGAGACAAATATTATTCCTATAGAAAAAATATTAAGTGGTTATTTTCTGAACCTTTGTTGTGGTCCCGATTGTGCTTTCTATGGCTGACAGAACAGATCCTGATTCTCCTAATTATAAGATCTGGAGTTACTGTTCTTTTATAATTGCTTTTGTGAATTGGGAATGAATTGTTTAAATATTTATTGGGCTAGTGTATTTTCTGAAAGGCAAACCGGCATTTTTGTTTATAAAATATTTGCAATAGAAGGCAGTTACTTGACATTTAGAGTTTAAATGTGGTTTATATGTTGAGTCTACTATGTTTAAGGGCCATATACAAGAGGACTAGCGAGCTCCACCTCTGCGCTGTGGACGAGAAAGAACGGACACACACATACCCACGTACACCCCTCCCCACATGTAACTGCAACCAAAGAGGGAGGAGGGAGTACAAGACAACCATGGTTCTCCTTCTGAACTGGTGGTAACCCATCCATAGACCTAGAGGTTTCTAGTGATTCTACAGGAGTGACTGATCATTAATGGTGGGGGGAATAAATGCCTGTGCCTCCCAGGGTAGTCTGCTTACGCATTCTCCACAGCAGAAACCACCACAGAAGTTAATGCTCTTTTCCCACTCTCAGTCCCTGTCTTCCCTCTGAGGCGGTAAGGACGGCAAAGGCAAATTCTCCACAGAGCAAGACTATATTATGTCATGATGAAATCAAGTTACAATGTCATTTCTTAAACGAATCCACAAACAATAGCATCAGTCCTATAGCGCACGCTCTTGGTTACTACCTCACAATCTCCGTCGCAAGGACTAAAGTGCTGAGTTTCAGACACAGTCCAGTGGGACTGGAAAGACCCGCAGAGGCCTGAGGTCAGGCGAGCACACACTATGTGCCACAGCACGCTGAAACTACAGCCCGCAGGCCAAGTACTACATGCAATTGTGCAGAAACAAAAGATTTCAGTGCAATGTTATACATACATTTTTAGCAGACACAGAGACAACTATTTCCAATCTCAGTTGCCTTCCCTGCCCCCTCCCCCATGCTTTATTATTTTTTTTTTAGGGATTTCTTTATTTGCCAAAAGGCTTATAGTACACCCAGAGAAAACACGGCATACTACTGGGGCAGTGTAAGATATGCAACAAAATAAATAACTGTAACACATAAAAGGCACAGCAGATCGAAGTGGCTAGTATTAAGAAAGAATCTGAATGCCAGTAAATCCTGACTTATTGGGATAGAATGGGAAAGTCCTTGTTTTGGTATTTTGAAGCTGAAAAAACAAATAAACATTCAGCTAAAGCACAGCAAGCATTTGACTAACCTTATAAAGCAAAGGGGATTGTCCCAGCTTCAAAAGTGCAATTTTTTTGGTCACATTTGTAATGGCTTGAATCCGGATCAAGTCTTCCACGGTCCCGTACTGTATATCAACAAGTTCTGCCTGCAAAGAGAAGACAAAGTTGAGGCTGTACCTAGAACCATGCATCACTGAGGGTGCTCCTTCCACAGAAACAAAGTGGTTTGCATAAGTAAAAGCACCTGCGCAGAGTTCTGCAATTACCTTACCCCCACTTCCTAATCAGGAATACCTGTAATAACAAAGAGCTTAAGAATTCAATCTGATAGGTAAATTTTTATCTTTGCATTTTTCATTCATAATTCATCAGCTGTGATAAACCCCTTCCCTTTTTTTTTTTTTTTTTTTTTTTTTTTTGCCAGTGGTTATAATAAGTGGTGGTGATTCTGATGAGAATTTCCCCTCATTAGCTACAGGAATGCATTTAAAAACATGTAAAGGATACTAACTCACTTCTGTTAATTTTCTTAACAGGGATTTAATGTCTTAAATTTTCTTAAAAGGAATCAGATTCTTGCAAAGCATTTCAGAAAATGAGTAAATGATTATACCAGTCACTTATGAAAATATACAGATAATACATACTCTACCAATATATAGTTTTATTCTGCCATCTCATATGGTTCCTGAGCAGCCTACCTTAACTATGGAAATATTTTCTTATAATCCATCAGTTATCCAAGCATTATACTCAGATAACCATAGCGATAAGAGACCACACTGCTCTGACGTGTAAACTTTTCAATAAATACATATTTTTAAATTATTTAGAACCACTTCCAACAAAATTAAAAGTGTTTAGAGCATGCTGATCTTCAGCTCTTCAGTTAGGACACTGCAAGAATATGTAGTAAAGGTCTAAGTTATTATTAAATGTCAAGCATTGGCAGTGATGGAAAAATATTTCAAGATCTGTTCTCAAGGATTTTATTTTTTTTTTAATATATATATAATTTAAGAATGACCAAGGGCATTTTTCTCACACATTTATAGCAATAAATTCTAGTGAAGACCAAGTATGAGGATAATCAGTCTTGTACATTATTATTTTAGAATGTTATGAAGCTCTCAGGACACAGCTGAAGACATTCTGGAACCTCTAAATCCCTACACACTATTCACATAAAACACAAATACAAGAAGACCCAAGAATATTACATGAGTGTTTAAATATTAAAATAAGAGGAGCAGTACAAGATGGAAAAGTTTCTCTTTCAGTTCAGTTTTGGTAATTTAAGTATGGATTCATTGCCAAAGGCAACAGTTCTGATTTTGGGCAGCCCTACACAAACTGTTTAAATTCCAGCAATAGTTGTTCTGGATATGTAGCATGTGTGAAATTTTACTAGATTCCTGACCACGGGTATTTTACTTATTACTTATACAACTGTATCTGAATATTTTGTCTCAGTTGAAGTCATAAAATTTTGCCAAGGTTCCTGTCTTCTTAAATGTATTCTTTTAAATTTTCAAGTTAACAAGTTTCTAAGTCAGTAACGTATCATCAGTGCTGTATAAACCAAGTGTTTAGAAAGGTCAGCCAGAGTTATAAAACACTTCTGGAACAGGCAAACATCAGATTTAACACCAAATACTGAAATGTACAGGAATGGAAAAATCTTGCACTTCATACAGTTTCTTCTGAAATATGTGGGGGTTTTAATATCTAAAGAACTTGAAAACTATTTCATAAGAAAATTCAAATGGTGACTTACACGCTGAAATCAATACATTTTTTTTCCTGTGTGATCATTGTATTTGGAAAATATGATAAAATCCAAAGAAGAAGTTTTTATACTAGCGGAAGCTATTTTATATTTTACCTAATCTGACGCCTCTGGTTATAGAGTTCACTTCAAATGTGGAAAGGATATTAACCAGCGTACTTCCTTGAAGTTCACACAAATTTTACCTCATTCTGTAGATCTCAGCTTTATTTTAATTTCTACCTACAGACATGTCAATAGATACACTTTAGTACAATAATTATTAGATTATCAAAAAACTTATTACTTGAGAGGTTATATCTCGGCCGATTTCTGGGGAGACCTCTAATCTCATTCCGTTGGACCCAATGCCTTTCACACCTACCCTCAAGCAAACCAAAAATCAGAGCTTTCATCATTTTCGTAAGAGACAAACTACACTGAATTTTCCTGAGGCAAAATCAATACACAAAGATACAACATAATGAAGTCTCAAAGCATTTGTTTCTACAGTATGCCTGTGTGAAAATGAGATCTCTGCCCATCTACATTCCTGTGCTGCTCCTCTTCACATCATTTTTGCTAGCTGCTCCTCCAGGGTGCTATCCTCTGCTCTGTAAACAACAAAACTACATGTTTGCACAATTATTAATGCATTTAGCAACCGCCCTTGGATGTTCTTAGTTAATTTATGGATGCAAACTGCATCTTCAAGAGCTGCTCACTGGTCTTTTCCAAGCAACATACGAGCTCAACAAGAGCAGGCTGAATAAGAGGCCCTACAAAAGCACAGCTCATTTTTTAATTATGTGAGAACCAGACCTTGACTCCCTGCTGCCCCAAACACTCTGCAAACCATGTTCTTTGCTCCAAATGTTAAAAGTAAGCCTCAATGCCAAAGCTATTAAATACATTCATACACTGAGAGTAAATGTAAGAAGTCATTACATAATGAAAAAGCAGCTGGGGATAATATAACAAAGAGTTACATGTGCTTTCATTATACATCTTCTGCACGAAGGATATGTCAAAGCTCAAGGTATTAGAAGTCTTTCTTTTGCACTTGCCTGAAAATAAGTATGACCTAAGCCTCTTGTAACTGTCCAACTTTAGGGGTACTCTCACGCTTATATTTCACTGTAACTTCGAAGTGGTTCTCTTCTCATCACAAATCTTTGACTCTTAATTTTACCTTTTTGGGAACTGCGTGTAAAAATGCTGCACGTGTCTAGCAAAGTAAGTTATGACATCCTGGTGACATCACATATAGCCTGGCAGCTGGAGGTTTGCACAGCTAATCTCAGATCTAACTTCAATTAAAATGACAAAACAAAGGGCATAAAATCTTTTCTTGAGTAAGACTACACACGGCTCCTCCCCTCCCAAACAAACTCAATAACCCACTGGAGGAGTTTAGAACAAAGTCATAACATTTTGGCAGTACAGTCCAGAAAGTAATTGGAAAACATTAAATTATAGAACTAGCTTTAAAAATTATTCTTACTCCTTCATTTAGTCTACGTTTGAGTAAAAGTTGTAATAAAAAGCAAAATATTTTGCACTACTTAATAACAACATCTCATCAAATACAATACAGCAACACTAGCTCAGAGTAGTCAGTTTTGTATTTATTTAACGTACTGGGGCTCAACTAAGTGGACCCTTTATTTCTAGCATAAAATAAAATATTGAAAAAATACACCTTTAAAATAATGTTAAAGAACCCAATTGAATCCAGAGTGCTACACTCTCAATAATCCACTGAGAAATCAGCAGTCCATTTATGTTGCACGTTGTCCTGTTTTAGTCACAACATTCCTAACGCCTCCAAAAATGAATAAAGATTTAATTTGCTGTTCTTTTTTAGATATGCTTACAACGTGACATAATCCTCATTTTACACATTCCAGATTTTAAAAAAGCAAAATATCCTACCCCAACTACCCATATTTGATAAACTACTTTCCTTTGGTAGGATAATTCTGTTCATAAATAAAAGAGAACTCATTCTTTTATCAGGTGCCCAAAAAGAGCAGTTGTGTACTTGGTTTAGATATGCAAGGTAAAATCCTCTTACCCTAAACCTGGGAAACTGCTAAAGAATGAGTTGTTTTATCCATTTGAATTAGGTACTTACTCTTCGAATTGTTTTGTGGTATGCTGCTTGAAAGAGACGACTATTTAGGAACAAATTGCAATGTGCAATATGGAGTTCCATAGTATTCCCCCATGCATGAAATGAAGTAGGGGTAGGTAATAAAACAAACATTTTTAGAAAAAGTAATTATTTTATGTTAGATTTATTATTAGTTTCTAAGTCCCAAGATGATGCTCAGTGAGTTGTAAACATTCTATCTTAAAAACTATGATAAAATCCCCCCAAAACAGAAAAGACAAGCACTCTGAAAATGCCACAATCAAGACAGCCAATGATCTTTTCCCAATTTCTTCTATTTATCTCCAAAATTAAAGAGAATAAAACAGCGTACTTCATCCAGTCATGGGTGAAAAAGAGTAAAACAGGTTTTGGAAAGGAAAAGTCTGAATAACTGTACGAAGCAGGTGGCAGCCAGGGTCTTGAAGATGCTGGGTACCATTTTAAAACTTTGCTTTCTTTACAAACGCTGAGGCAATTAAACAAAAAGGATAAGCTACATAGGTCAAAAATAATAATGGAAGTATGTTTTTCGTATCACATTGTTATCATTCAGTCCACTTGAATGAGAAAAGGACTTTAATAACAGCATTACACATCTGCATCCAGTAAATGGCTAAGAGGCAGACTGTGGCAGGATAAAGAGTAAGGGAAAAACCCACAGAAAAAACCCAAACCTCCAAGCCAGGACACCCAGGAAGGGAAGTTTCTCACCACCACCAAAATGCAGATGGAGTCAGTACAGATAAGGTAGCTCTTAAATGCATCTGCTCCAGCTGTCAAGGCTGGAATCTCAGCGTAGAAAAGCACCACACCTAAGCAAATAGTTTTACGATTATTTCTTAAGAGAATACATTAACGTCAGTATTGAGCAATCCCAAAGAAATCTCATCTGCAAGGTGTAAACTTACGCAGAAAACAAACCCAGAAGTAGCACACAGAATGGCTGTGGTGAAAAATCTCTTCTTAATGTTACCTGTTGATGCCACCACAGTTCAGTAACCTCAAATTATGAATATATTTTACCAAATACCAATCAGTTGACTCATATTAATGAAAAAACTATTTGGGAGATCAGGATCGTAGAAGCTGCAGCTATGAAAATGACTGATACTCAAGCTCATATTCCTGCCAGTTCTGACCAACCTACCAAAAGAGCGTCAGAAGCTCCAAGTATTAACAAAAACTAAACATTAAATGCTCTGCACATAATATATTTAGGA